TCGTTTTGAAACGATGCCGTTATTTCACGCCTATTTCGAGTTTTATTCTAACCCTCGTTCAGTTGGTTTTTGGCTGGCAATCTCTTTTAGAATCCGACTCATTCTTTGTCAACTCGGTTGTTATCGCGTTTTCCTAATGTGCGGTCTGGCGGGGTGGGTACACCAATCACAACCCTACACATGTCTATGACGTGTTCTCGTATTCAGGCGCGTGCTGGAGACGTATAATTCCAAGAGTTTGACTGCTTTCATAAGCCTATAAGCATTTTCCCCCCTTTGACTGCCATCGCAATGCCGTTTCTGTTATTGTGTTGGGGCAGGCAATTTTTCTACTTTGTTTTTGGACTATTGCTTTTGCATTTTAACTATATTGCTTTCGGTGAAGCAATATTGTGCTACCGTATATTGCATGCTTTTGGTATGGACAATGCGGTGGAATTTTTTGTTTTTGGTTAAGCAATTTACCTTAATTTGTTGCTTTTGGTGAAGCGAATACCTTAATTTGACTTGTGGCTTTTGGTGAAGCGTATGCCCTTAATTTGTTGCTTTTGGTGAAGCGAATACCTTAATTTGACATGTGGCTTTTGGTGAAGCGCATTTCCTTAATTTGTTGCTTTTGGTGAAGCGAATACCTTAATTTCACTTGTGGCTTTTGGTGAAGCGCATTTCCTTAATTTGTTGCTTTTGGTGAAGCGAATACCTTAATTTGATTTGTTGCTTTTGGTGAAGCGCATGTCCTTAATTTGTTCCTTTTGGTGAAGCACCTACATTAATTTTAGCCATTCGGCTTATGGTGAAGCCTATGAACTTTTAGGTTCTTTGTTTTTGTCGTGCGCGTATGTTTGAGCTATTTACTTTGGGTGAAGCTACTACATTTAATCTCTTGCGACCTTTGGTTAACCAAGTTGCATTTTTCGCTTTTGTAAAACAAAATTCTTTAGTTTGGCATTTATTCTTTTCGGTGAGGTCCCTATCTTTTGCCTTATATTTGCGTGGCGTGCAATATCTGCAGTATGCATCCAGGCGAGTGCCAGTGTGGCCATTTCAAATTAAAATTCACGATAATCAAGTGATTTGTTTGTTATCCACTGCTTTGAGTTAATGTTACGCGACGCACACTTGTCTTATTTAGAAACGAGATCACTTCTAATTTTATTTTAATGCTGCTTGTATTGTCCTAGCTGTTTCATTGAGTTGTTCGTACATGTCCCATAAGTAGCACGTTTTTTGTTTTTGCGGGTCGCTAAAATTGTTCGCAGCAATTATAGCTTGTCCATTGTATTCAATGGATTACCATGCAGTGTTATGTTGGATTTGCATTTGACTGTACGATTTGTTTTGCTCTATTGAAACACTGTATAATTGTTTTTCTTCTATCACTCTTGGTGGAGCGATTACGTTTGCTTTAACTCTGTTTACGTATTGTTTTCATTTGCGTGACGCGAGAAACGGTATGTTCTTTTTGAGCTTTTGTCTTGTTTATCTTCGCATTAGTTGCTTTCAGTTAGGTATTTTGTAGGCCTATACATTTGCTTATAGTTATAAGCGGCGTTATAAGCCAATTTTTATCGGGTTTTCTCGTTCTATTTGCCTACCTTTGGTATTCATTTTTCGATGCCTTCAAGGGTGCATTTCTTTCGGTTGGTTTCTTATTGTCCTGTGGCGTTCTGCCTAGTTTTAATCGCGAGCTTGCTCATCGTTCTATGTGCATGGTTTAGGTATACTCAGCGGATTTGTTTGTTTGCGGATTTTAGGCTCATCAGTATTATTCTTATTTATACGTTGGGCCGTGTATGTAACATTTGTTTTTGGTGAAGCATAAATGCATTTGCAGTCGCGTGCTTTGGGTGAAGCTGTTTGTTTTTGATCCGCAAGACTATTTTTGTGCTTGTGTTCCTGGGTGCAGTAACGTGTAAGATCAGTCTTTGGTGAGGTATGATTTAATCACCTTTGCGTGAAGCGAAGTGGATATTCCTTTGCTGCGGCCAGCTTTCGTTTGGTTATTCGAAACAAAAGCTCGTTTTGGGCACAGTGCACGATATGCTTTGGTAGGGCAAAATACCTCCATTTTGGGTAAAGCAACGTGGAAATGTGCTTTGGGTGTCAGGCATGCAGCATTTCATTTATAACTTAAGACATCTATCGTGCGTATTAAGACGCTTTTGGTGAAGTAACGTGCATGTTTTCACGATATTGCTTTAAGAGCAACCTTTTACTTTTTCATCATTTTCCAAGGGAGGGATTTTTTCTGAGTATTGGAGAGAGAGAGAATCTCGCTTTTTCAAGTCTGATCGTCATGAAATCTTTGTAATGTTTTCTACCTATGGTGCTGTTTAAGGAGTCTGAGTCCGCCAAGGTTGGAAATTATTGATCCCCAATCTGAATTCCCTCAATCAAAGGTATTGTGCGGGGAAAGCGAGCAGTGAGAATATATTACTATTCTCACTGGGAGTATTCTCACAATACCATATACTTTGCATATTTATGCATGAGATGATCAGTTAGTCATCCATATACACCACGTGAAGGTCAGACAGTATAAAAGTAGCACAGAATCGGTATCTTTTGAGCATTTGCGGATTTGCCACCGAAAAGGAAGCTAGGACGGCGCTGAAATTTTTTGGGAACCATCTACCTCCCCTCGGCTGCGACACTTCCGGACCTAGCTTCGCCGCACTCTACCTTTGGCTGAAAACTATTTATCCCCAATCTGAATTCCCTCAATCAAAGGTATTGTGCGGGGAAAGCGAGCAGTGAGAATATATTACTATCATGATTGCGGGTATTCCCTTTGTTTATTATTAGGCGAGTGGAGTATTTTAAATATAGCATGCTACATTTAAATATTAGAATATTTGTTGAAATTGGTTGCAGAAGTAGCGGTCGTATAGTAACACATTAAAAAAAATGTTCTCGCGATTACTTTGCATACTCCCTCTGCTTTTTGCGATTGAATAGAAAAACATTTTACCTCACTTTACATAGGAATCTATAAATGTTTCTTGCTCAAATCGCTATATCTCGTGATATTTTCAATTATTGACATTTGTTGAAATCATTTTATTCTGAGGAATAATATAACTCAACAATCAGTAATAGAACAGAAGATATTGCCTAATACAGTAACATTTAGTTCGACGCGAATTTTAATACAAGTATGATATCATATTTCATAATATAACAAACAATGTAAATACATTTTGCCATACATTTTGCCGAACATAACTTCGGTCACTTTGGACATATCCTTTTTGTAAGCAAATTAAAAGCCTATATAAATTTAAGTTAATGAGACAAGGTGTGATGGTAAGATGAGGAGGTAGATATGGTTTATATCAACCTAATCTTTGACAGTTTGGTCAAAGATCTTGACAGATAGGTCAAAGATCATTTTCTGCCAGCTAGCACACATTCACTTGAACAAACCGTGAAACATACTGTGAACCAATTGAAAACCTTGTATGACTCTGTTCTGTGCTTTGACCAATCACAGGGCATAACACAGCCCATCCTAATTGGCACATAACATGCACGAGTTTATGCAAAATAACGTAATTTACTCTGAGATGTCGACATAGTAACATTATCGAAAGATTTTCAAAATATAACTCTACCGCGGGCAAGCACTTTTTTACTCTTCTGGTGGACAAAAGAATACGTTGGCTCAAGTACCGATATGTGATTCAGGGAGACGTAGTTTATTCAAACATAACTCTGCCGCGGGCAAGGACTTGTACTCGTCTGGTGGACAAAAGAATACGTTGGCTGAAGTATCGATGTACTATCCAGTGAGACGCAGTTTATCCAATATAACTCTACCGTAGTCAAGTGCTTTTACTCTTCTGGTGGAATAATGAATACGTTGGCTCAAGTACCGATGAAGTTATTAGCGTCAGCTGCTGGTGGAATTATAACAAGATTGAGAGGCTACATAAACACGTTTTCAACTAGCGTACATGCTTAAGTGAAACGGATATATTTGGTGCGTATAAAGTATGCGGTGAATTCACACGTTTGCTTCGTATTCCGTTTTTCAAACCAACCAAAATGCTTTAACTTCGTCTATTTTGTCAGAGAATTTGGGTATATATAGCAATTGTCGAACGCCAAATGTATCGACTATTCACGCCCAGACTGGAATGCTTGCAAATTGTGCGGGGAATTAATTTTCGCTTCGTTTGTTTGCGCGGATACGGTGCAAAATCGAAAAATAATTTGCCGTTTGCTTACGTACGAGTTACGATCAGACATTTGATGTACTAAAATACAGACAAACTAGTGTAAATTGCTGTAAAATTGTAAATCGAAATTTCGCGCGGATTAAGTTTAAAAATATCTATCATATGCGCGGATGGTTCCCAATTTTTCAATTTTGCGCGGATGAAACCAAAGCTTTGAGATATTGCGCGGAGAAGAACTTCCCCGCGCACAGCAAAGATTCCAGTCTGGAATATTTCACGCTAAATCGATCTGTATTTCAATGTCAATTGTATTACCACCTTGAGGTTATTAACCTGCCAGATTGGGCCTCTGATTTCGTATTCCGCTTCCCAAACCAATCAAAATCTATTAAATTCGTCTATTTTATAACGACATTTACAATTCTGGTGTATTATTTCTCGATCAAAAATTCCAATGAGCCAATGACAATTTTATTACCACCTTGAGGTTAGCCGCTGATTAGGCTTCAGATTACTCCACAGATTCGGCGTTGGATTGGGTTTCAATCAGGACTCAAGCCCTACATTAAACTGTATTCAATCGTTCAAAAGTAGACTTATAAACCTCTTTTTCAGGTATTTCAGAGCGCACGTTAATAAAACCTAACATTAATTGGACCTGCATACATTGTCAATACTTTACTGTTCAAAACATAAGAAAGCAAGCTCATTTGTTTACAAAATTTAAGATTTCAAACTCTGCACTCATATATTTATCTACATTTGCGATAAGTCGGTACTGAAGAAGATAAGATATGAAGATTGGTACTGGATTAACAACACCATGCATGCCTACGCTCATGAAAATTGAAAATTCTTTGATGTACTATCTGATCATTTAACTGCATGATATATTTAGTCTACCAAATACATATTTTACAATTTCTGCTAATATCATGAATGCATGATTGGATGTCCGATCGCAACACTGTGGTTATAAGCACTTGAATTGCAGTTTGGTCCTGCTATTTCGAATTAAAGTAACGAACAAGCTATATTTCTGAGAGTAATGTTATGTAACTCAAGAAAGTTCCACCAATCATAATTGAAATAAAATAAGAGTGATAAATGTTGTGCAAAACGCCTTAATGAACACATTTACATAAAAAAAAATAAATAAAAAAAATAAAATAAAATGTGCCTTGATGGTGAGCTTTGTTTGTCGTGTTACCAACCCTCCAATTAAGAACTTGTAATATAGAAGCTTTGTGGGAAAGCTGCTGGTTGTCTTGGCCCCATCCAGGTTTCCTGTATGTTCCAGG